ATCCTTCGGATGACTTTAATACTAAATAAAGACAAACGTGGTCATTGTTACCGAGAGTGTGCATGTGTTTGTATATATTTACTCTAACGTAACGGACTCCACAATCCTTTCCCAGGCCGGTAATTTAATTAGTGCAAGTTAAAAACGCTTCGCGCTAATTCTTGGTTTTACTGAACAGATGTAATGATAGCAATAAATAAAGACCATATTTTTTGTTTCTCCGACAGAAAGTTAAACCAAGTTTAGCAATTTTTAATATACTTAATTCTAAATTTTGCGCCGCCTCCGAAAAAGGTGCATTGCATTTAATATGATGTATTTAATAATTTAACCAAATTCATCAAACGATGGTGAATAACAATGCAGTTTAAATAGAAATTATTTCACACTTTACACTGCATTTTCCCATACTTTTAAGCAATTATATCTAGAACTAGTGCGTATTCGTATACATTAACTAGAAATTATTTCATACTTTTCACTGTACCCTTTTTGAAGTCGATTAAATTTCTTTTCCAAAAAATTATTTTATTTCACTCTTTTTTGTGGCAATCTATAACCAATAGGTTTCATGCAATAACAACAGTTATGAGCAATATACAGGATGACCCAAAAAACGTTGGAGGTCCTTATAAAGACTTGTTCCGCGGGGAGGGGGTGTTGAAACAATTTTTCCTTAGCGAAAATGTTGCTCGATGCTTCGTTAAGGAGATATTCCAGAAACAGAAACTCCCAACCAATCACAGCGCGAGTATGCCGGAGGAGCGCCTGCGGACATACTCGCGCTCTGATTGGTCGGAGGTTTCTGTCAATATCTCCTTAACGAAGCCTCAAACAACATTTTCATGGATGTTATATAGTAACAAATTTAAATAATTTAATTTTGTTCTATTTTTTAATAATTTTAATTTTATTTTTAATCTATTAAATTTAAATAGCTTAGAAGTTCTGTTTTTAATTTATTGCTTAAGATGGATTTAAAAGTAAATATAATCTAATTAGTTTTGTTGAAGTTGATTATATCAAGTGTACAAATCGCCCGTCAGTTTTATTTTTAGAATAGAAAAAGTCGTAACATAGTAAAAGCATTTGAAAATACTTTTAGACAGAAATTAAAATTTAATATATTTAGTAAATTAAATGATTTAGATAATTTTATTAATAAATTTTATTTTTTATTGTTAGTGCAATGTTTTATTTTGAATAAAATAAATTTATATAATTAAGTTTGAGTAAAATGATAAATAAATTAATTAATATATAGATTTTAGTATTGTGAAAGAATTTTTGATTTATTGTAAACTATAAATTGATTTTTATACCTTTTGTATCAAGATTTATTAAAATTAAATTATTAATGTTAATTATCTCGAAAATAAAAGATTTATTTAAATATTGTCTTTTATATATCATTATAATTTAAAATATTTAAATACTAATGAAAAGTTAATCGATTTTTGTTACAGCCGTGCGATGCATGTATAGCGGTGGTCGCCATGGCGTTGGCTCCCTCTACAATTTAATTATGTACGTTTATTATAGCAGAGAGAACCACGCTCTGAGTTCATCTATGTTTCTTTACAATTATATTATATTCAATTAAACCTGTGCCACTTAATTCCACTCGCACCTCGATTCCTGCCATTAGGTTATGGGCCCAGTAGGAATATGTATCGCAATCGACAATAAAAGTGAAACGCGGAATCCGAACACGTTTATTTTATTGAGGTTAAGTGCGTAGTACGGAAGGACTAACCAAAATGAACTCGTCAAACGTCGCTCGGATCGAATCTCTAACGCGTGATACTTAAGACACCTGGAAAATGCAGATGCGAGCTTTGTTGGTAAAAAATGACGCGTGGAATCACGTTAGTGGTGAATGTAAAGTGCCGGAACGAATCGAAAACAATCTTGCTTCTGAAACGGCGTACAAAAATTGGAAAAGAAACGACGAAAAAGCTAAATCGGACATTATACTATCGATAAGTGTTTCTGAATTAAAGCAAGTGAAGTTCTGCGACACGTCCCACCAAATGTGGAAGATACTGGAGGAAATATATCAATCCAGAGGACCCGCGAAGAAGACAACTTTGCTGAAAAGACTATTACTTCACAAAATGAAGGAAGACGACGACATTCATACACATCTGGGTAGGTTCTTCGATGCTGTGGACAAGCTACAGGAAATTAACGTAGATATAAATCCGGATGTGCAAGCGATCATGTTGTTATATAGTCTGTCGAATACGTTCGAGAATTTTCGGTGCGCGATAGAGTCGCGAACGCGTTGCCAGATCCAGAGACATTACGCGTAAAAATCATTGAAGAATATGATGCGCGGAAAAATCAAACGGTCGACACGATACCTAACGCGATGTTAGCAGGTAAATACCGCGGAAAATCGAATTTCTCAAACCGGAACAAAGACAGTAGATCCGGAAAAGAAATTTTCAAATATAAGTGTCATCGGTGTAGGCGTGTAGGACATAAAGCCTCGGAATGCGATAAAAAGATCGGTAGTGCGCGACAAAATGTACACGGAACGAAGACGTGACGAGTTTATACGCGTCAGCCACTATTGAAAGAGCATTGCTTACGAGTGCGAATCGCGATGCGTGGTGCCTCGATAGCGGATGCACCTCGCACTTGTGCAAAAATGCTAATGATTTTGTAGACGCGGAAAAATCAGAGTGTAAAGAACTCAATCTCGCAAATAACATGTCGACAAGTGTTCATGCGAGAGGAACTGTTCCGTTAATGGCGTTGCACGAAGGACAACAAAAACAATTCAGATTAAACGACGTTTTGCATGTTCCCGATCTTCGTGCAAATTTATTATCTGTATCTAAAATAACCGATCGGGGCTGTAGCGTAGTATTTAAGAAAGATAAAGCGATCATAGTCGATAAGGTAGGGCAGACGATTCTTAACGCTGATCGTATCGGCGGATTGTATTACCTACGTCGGATAAAACAGGACGAATGTCGCAACACTTCGGAAAAGGTAGAATCGCGAGCGAAAATCGGCGCGCTGGAAGTTTGGCATCGTCGCCTCGGAAACCTGAACGCGAAGGATATACAAGAATCAGCACGAAAGGGTACGATTACTGGACTGAACCCTAAGCAATTGCTAGGCGAATTAAATTGCGATGTATGTATTCGGGGAAAAATGACTCGCTTACCTTTTCCTAAGAATTCTAACAGGAAAACAGGAATGTTGGAAATTATTCACAGCTACGTGTGCGGTCTGATACGTGTGCACTCGAACGGAGGATCGAGATATTTCGTAACATTTATCGACGATAGCACACGTTGGTGCGAAATATACACATTGAGAAGCAAGGACCAAGTTCTAAGAGCATTTAAAGAGTTCAAAGCCTATGCAGAAAATCTAACGGGGAGAAAAATCAAGAATTTACAGTGGGATAATGGGGCGGAGTATAAGAATTCTGCATTCGACGAATTTCTGAAGAGTCATGGAATTAAACGAAGACTCTTTCTGTCACCTACTGCCCCGAACAAAATGGACTGGCGGAGAGAAAAAATCGAACTCTCACGGACATGGCCAGATGTTTGCTTCTGCAGTCTAATCTGCCTCCAACTTTTTGGGCCGACGCCGTGTCTACGGCTAATTACATACGGAATCGATGTCCAACGAAGAGCTTGTCAGGTAGAACACCTTACCAAGCGTGGACTGGAGAGAAGCCGTATGTACGAAATATGAAAGATTTCGGTTGTACCGTTTATTTCGTCAATGGAAAACCGAACAAGGAGAAGTTTGTCCCGCGCTCGAAGAAGGGGATTCTCATAGGATATCCTGCAGACGCAAAGGTTTACCGAGTTTGGGTCCCTGACGAAAGAAAAGTAACGATATGTAGAGACGTGAGGTTCGTCGAAAAATTTGACGCTGATTTAAATCATCAATATGAAGATCCACTCACGGAAGATCAAAACGAATTTTTCACGGAAGATACGACGGAAAATGAAGGACGCGAAGAAGTACAAATAGAAATATCTCCTATCGGGACTGATCATGACCTACAAGATTCAGTCGAAGAGGAGGATATAAGCGAAATACCGCATCAAATGCAAGGAACATCACGAAGAGGTCGCGGAAGACCCAGGAAGGTCCGGACTGGATCAAGGGAAAGAGCTCGGAAGGAATACATCCAGGTGGAGTCTAACTACGCGAACGAAGAATTTGCACTAGCCGCGGAAATACCAGTAAAGCAGGCTCTATCCGGAGAAGACAGAAGTGAATGGTATCAAGCAATGGCATCCGAGATCGAATCAATTTTGAAAAACGATACGTGGAATCTGATAGATCGACCCAAAGAAATAAATATGGAGCAAACGGAAATCTCGAGCGAAGAAAAGCCAGAGTGGTTGCACGAGGTTTTGCGCAGCAACCAGGGATTGACTTTAACCAGACGTTTGCACCGGTTTCGAGACTTAGTTCAATCCGTATAATGAGTGCCATTGCTGCAAAATTCGATATGGAAATGCATCAGATCGATATAATTACTGCGTATCTGAATGGAAAAATTGATGAAACAATATTCATGGAAGTGCCGGAGCAAATGAAGGAAACGTTGGAGTTCATCCTCGAGGCGGGAAATTACGGAGCTGAAACGGAGAAGTCCCGGAAAATGTTGAACGAACTGAAGAGTGGAAATAAAGTATGTCTCACGAAACTGGCATTGTAGATTAACCCAGGAATTAAAAATGTTCGGAGCTGTACCCTCGGGGACAGACCCATGTATGTATTACACCGGTCGTGGAGAAGATTTATTACTAGTTTCAGTCTACGTGGATGATCTACTCATTGCCTCGCAACATCGAAATAAAATTGAAAACTTGAAGAAAATTTTGGCTCGCTCGTTTGAAATAAAGGATCTCGGAGAAGTGAAGCACTGCCACGGAATCGATTTTTCACGAAACGAATCCAGTATTACGCTGAAACAAAGCGGATATATAAAAGATTTACTCATAAGATTCGGAATGTCCTCGGCTAACAGTGTATGCAGCCCAATGGAAGTTAATTTGAAGCTACCTAAAACAGAAGGATCCAACAAAGATAAAGTGTGTACCCTACCATATAGAGAGCTGGTGGGATCGCTCACATATTTATCTACGGCAACGAGACCCGACATAGCGCATGCTGCGAATGTTCTGAGCCAGTACAACACGTGTTTCGGAGAAGTTCACTGGACAGCGGCGAAGCGCGTTCTTCGATACTTGAAGGAAACAATGGATCTAGGTATCTCCTATCAACGGAAAAATGAATCCTTAGTCGGATACGCTGATGCCGATTGGAGAGGTTGTCAACATGACAGACGATCGCATACGGGGTATGCATTTATCCTCGGCGGGGAAGCCATTTCCTGGGAATCTTGGAAGCAAAAGACCGTTGCTCTATCCTCTACAGAAGCAGAGTATATGAGTTTATCGGAAGCTACGAAGGAAGCCATATACTTGAGGAAATTATTAACAGACTTTGGACTCGAGGAATTGCCGGTCATCAAGCTTTTTGGAGATAATCAAAGCGCTTTACGATTGGCTGAAGACCCTGTTTTTCATAACAGAACTAAGCATATCGACATCCGACACCACTTCGTACGGGACGCGGTGAGGAACAATCTCGTAACTTTGGAGTACGCACCCTCTGACCGCATGGCTGCAGATGTATTGACGAAGGCCCTGTCAGGACCGAAACATGGCACAACCATGTTCTACAAATATAACTACACATTCTAATAATCATAATAACTCAAAATTTACAGATTCTAAAAGTATTTCGTGTTACAGGTGCGGAAAAGGGCATCTTGGTACAAAATATATGCTAAATCGCAATGTTAGATGCACTGCTTGTGGAATACGAGGTCATCTCCAATCAGTCTGCTTTAAAAACAAAGGACAAACGCATAACGTTGAGGAAATCTTACACAACGCGTCAGATGAAGACACTTTACAGTTAGAACAAGCGGAATACCGAAAGAAATTTCTTATCAAACTTCAGATAAACGATAAAATTGTAGAATTTGACGTAGACAGCGGCGCGGCGGTTACAATCGTGAATAAAGCTGAAATGCTCAAATTATTTCTAAGTCCGTTCATACATTCGACAACGCTGAAAGTAATTACATATTGTAAGAGTACGCTTAAAGCAGAAAGTTATATCACAGTACGTGTCAGACACGGTCGTACGGAACGTAAATTAAATATATATCTGACAAATGTAAATCGAGTACCGCTGTTAGGACGCGAATGGCTACGCCAATTATTAAGCGACACCGAATTACGCGAAATTACGTTAAATCATTGTACAGTAAATTCAGTAGGCATCGACAAGAAAGAAAAACTGAACTCGATTTTACAGAAATACAAAGAAATTCTGGAACCAGGTTTAAATCGTATTAAAAATAAACAGGCGCGTTTAACGCTTAAAGATGGTGCTAAGCCTATTTTCATAAAGCATCGTACAGTTCCATTTAAATTACTACCACTAGTTGAACAAGAAATTAAAAATTTAGAGGCCGCAGGAATTCTAGTAAAGGTCAATACTTCGGAATGGGCTACACCCATAGTACCGGTACTTAAGAAAGAAGGTAAAGTTAGAATCTGTGGAGATTATAGCGTTACGATAAATTCCAACTTGATAGTGGATAATCATCCGTTACCAACAATAGATGAACTTTTCGCATCTATGGCTGGTGGTATAATTTTTTCAAAAATTGATCTTCGGCAAGCATATCTACAATTAGAAGTCCGGGAAGAAGATCAACCCTTACTTACATTAAATACACCTCTAGGATTATACAAACCGACTAGACTAATGTACGGAATTGCATCGGCTCCTGCCATATGGCAGTGAGAAATTGAAAATATTCTAAGGGGTATTCCAGGAGTTACAGTCTTTTTTGATGATATCAAGATTACAGGTACGAGTGATACGGAACATCTGCATAGATTAGAGTTAGTTTTTCAAAAATTACATGAATACCATATTAAGATAAATAGAGAAAAAAGTACGTTCTTTACAAATCAAATTAAGTATTGCGGTTATGTAATTCATAAACAGGGAATACATAAAGATAAAAAAAAAACGATGCTATAGAAAAAATGCCTACTCCTCGCATCGTATCAGAAGTACGAGCATTTATAGGTTTCGTAAATTATTACAGTAGATTTATTAAGAATCTTAGTTCGATTTTATATCCACTAAACAAGTTGTTACATAAAGAATAAAAATTTGCTTGGTCCAAGGAATGCGAACTAGCCTTTACAAAGGCTAAACGAGCTTTTCAAAGCAACGAAGTATTGGTCCATTACGATCTCAAACTGCCACTTATATTAGCTACCGATGCAAGCGCTTACGGTGTGGGAGCTGTGCTATCACACGGTTACCCAGATGGTAGCGAAAGAGCAATACAAATCGATAAAGAGGCTTACAGCATAATTTTTGGCGTTAAGAAATTTCACCAATACCTTTACGGAAATAAGTTTACATTATACACCGATCATAGACCATTAGTACATATATTTGCGCCTTCGAAAAATTTACCGACTTATAGCGCGATGCGTATGCAACATTATGCGTTATTTATTCGAGGCTTCGACTACACAATTAAGTACAAAAATACTAAACTACATAGCAATGCAGACTGTTTATCTAGATTACCGATTTCAAATTCCAATGAAGCTACATACGACGTAGTAGATGTTTTTTAAATAGACACGATACAATCACTACCAACTACATTCAAAGAATTAGTAAAGGCGTCTAAGCAAGACATACATTTAAAGAAAATAGTAGAGTCAGTAGAAGCAGGTACACCGATACAAACTAATGATAGATCCCGTAGTAAAGAATTGGAATACAGCGTTCAACAAGGAGTTCTTCTATGCGGACATAGAATAGTCATACCAAAAACCTTGCAAAGCAAAATACTAAAAGTATTACATAGCGAACATTTTGGAATTGTAAAAATGAAAATGTTAGCACGTAGCTATGTTTGGTGGGATGGTATACATAACGATATAGAAACAATCACAAAAAACTGTGTAGAGTGCAACGCGAATAGAAATAATCCACCAAAGATTAAGCATATGTGGGAACCTGCTACATTTCCATTTGAACACATATGCGGGATGATTTTGCGGGACCATTCAAGGGATATAATTTCTTAATAATAGTTGACGCCTACACAAAATGACCCGACGTTTTCATAGTAAAAAACATTACAGCGGAGAATACGATACAAAAATGTCGCGAAATATTTGCAAGATTTGGGTTACCGATGCAGATAGTGTCAGATAATGGACGTACATTCGTATCAAACGATTTTCAACAGTTTTTACAAAATAATGGAATTAGCCAAAAGTTAACAGCGCCATATAACCCAGCGACAAATGGATTAGCAGAGCGTTTTGTACAAACATTAAAGAAATCTTTACATACTATAGATACACAGAAAACAAATTTATACGTAGCATTACAGCGCATACTAATGCAATACAGAATTACTCCACATTGTACAACAGGAATTTCTCCAGCGGAATTAATGTTCAATAGGAAGATTAGATGCACTCTAGATATAATGCGACCTAAAAATAACGAAAGTGTTCAATATTACAACAATAAAAGCGTGTTAAATTTTAAAAAAGGGGAGAGAGTGAGCTGTAGAAACTATCAACGTGGAGACAAATGGATTTTCGGGAGAATTCTTAAGCGTATAGGAAAATTGCATTATATAATTAAATTAGATGATGGACCAACTTGGAAACGACACACTAATCAAATACGACTGATTGGAGAGTTTACTCCTTCACGTTTATCGTCGAAAGACAAAAACATAGGGAAATACATGGATTATGCAACCGATATAGAACCTCAACAAACAATGAATCGTGTAAATATGGCCAGAGCGGAAGAACCGCCGGAACCATTGAATGGTGAAACAGGCGTGCATAGATCGCAAAGAATAAGAGCACCGCCAGCTAGATATGGCGATTTCAGAGTTCATTGAAAACATTAATAATTATTCAGTTATTTATTATGAGAATTTACATTTCGTTTACTATTCTTTTCTTTTCCATTATTTGTATACATATGCGCTTACTTAGTTATAGAAAAACAAAATTCTATGTATTTTTTTTCCTTACGAAAGCCGTCGCGATACTATGGCACGTATTCTTAAGGAAGGGGAGTGTTATATATATATATATATATATTCAAATTCCCCGCTAACATGTACCGTGTATGAAAAACTCGGAAACGAACGTTGATTACAGCGACGGATGTACACAGAGTGCCATCCTTCTGGCTCGAGACGCCGTAGCGATCTCACGTGGCGAAATGCGTAATGCGAAATCGGTATACCATTAATGTACATATTTTTGTTAGTTGTCTAAGTATTAAGTAAATACATTGTGAGAACATAACAATGGGATAACCTATAATTTTAATATAATTTTATTTATTATTTAGTTAGTACACATATAGATATGAAATTAATTTATTTTAGTAAAAATTTAATAATTTATGATGTAATCAAATAATTATTTAGGTTTATGATATATTTATCATATAAGATAAAATTAGATAATTTTAGTTTAATTAATATAATGATAAAATTAGTATAATTTAATGTAAAATTTTATATTTATTTTTAATAAATATTTTTGGAATGAAGCAAAATTTATATTCACTTGTTTATCAAAAACATGTCTTTTTGTTAATAATCTAAAGTCGATTCTGCCCGCTGAATTTAGTTTAAAAGGCTGCAGTATTTTGACAGTACTAAGGTAGCATAATCAATAGTTTTTTAATTGACAACTGGAATGAAGAAGTTAATGAAATATAAACTTTCTTAATTATTTTTATTGAATTTTTATTTTAAGTTAAAATTCTTAACTATAATTAAGGGACGAGAAGACCCTATAGAATTTAATTTATTACATCCTAATTTTATTATATTCGAATTTACGATTTAATAAATTTAATTGGGAGGATTGTTAAATTTAATAAACTTTAATACATAATTATCAATAATTGTTGTTTATAAGAGTATTTATTAAATAATAATAGATAAATTACCTTAGGGATAACAGCGTACTATTTTTGGAAAGATCAAATTTATAATAATGATTGCGACCTCGATGTTGAATTAAGATAATTTTAAGTGCAGTAATTTAATAATTAAGTCTGTTTGACTTTTAAAATCTTACATGATTTGAGTTCAGATCGGCGTGAGCCAAATGGGTTTCTATCTTTAAACAATTTAAATATTTTTGTACGAAAAGACTAGATATTTTAAAAATTTTATATACTTATATAATTATTTTGGCAGAATTAAGTGCATTAAATTTAGAATTTAATTATACATAATTTATATATAAGTAATAATATATTCATTAATAAATTATTTTTATATAAATTTTGTTTTTTTTTATTTTAATACTATTAATGATATTAATTAGAGTAGCTTTTTTAACATTATTTGAGCGTAAAATTCTAAGTTATATTCAAGATCGTAAAGGTCCTAATAAATTATGAATTATTGGAATATTACAACCATTTAGTGATGAAATTAAGTTTTTTTTTTTTTTTTTGGCAAGTGGAAAAACATTCATAGGCACAGGGTGCCGGTGGACGAGGCCAGCATCCGGTAGTGTGAGATTTCTACTCACTAAAAAACCACCCGCTTCCCGCGTTAGCCCCCCGGACCAGACCTGCTTTCGCATAACGACAGTCC